AGTTCCATGAATTCTACATTCTTTATTAAGGTATTAATCTCTTTCTAAATTTCCTCCTGCATATCCTGGATTTTTTTCTTGTTTCATTATGTTATTTAACTGAGTCTTCTTGTAGCTCATTGAGTTTCCTTAGGATTGTTGCTCGGAATTCCTTTTCAGTCATTTTAAGGGTTCCCTGCTCTACAGGATCTAGTATTTGAGAATTACTGTATTCTTTTGGTGTTGCCATATTTTCTTATTTTCATATTTCTAGTATCTCTATGTTGATGTCTGATCATCTGGTAGAGCAGTTGCTTCTTCTATGTGGGCTTTGAGGAGAGACACTTCCTCTTCTTTTTCTGATCTCTGCTGGTGCCTCCTTGTGTCAATGCAGTTGAGTGGGTGGCAGGCTACCTGCACAGTGGCTATGGCTGCTACTGTGGCAGTGAGCTGTCCTTGTGGCAGCAGTGACAGTAGTTGTGGTGTACCACCCATGGGAAGTGCTGTTTTCTGCATGTTCCTGCCTTCTGCCAGGCAGCGGGTGCTGCCTACAGCTGCCTAGGACCTGTATGTGCTCCTGCCTTCTTCTGGACAGTGGGGCTTGCCTGTGGCTCCTGCCAAGGACCCCATGCATGCTCCTGCCTTCTGCTGGGTGGTGGGGGCTGCCTGCATCTTCTCCATGTTCTTAAACTGTCATTATGTTATTGTGTGATACGGGCAAGAAACCTGCATTAAGTTCCTCACCCATAAAATAGAAATGTTAATATGAAGTCTTTGGGTTGTGATGATGAGATGAATGATATGTGTCTGCCAAGGTGGAACAGGATTAACAGAGGGCAGCTATCTGAGGAAAACTCTCCCGCCTCCATCTGCCAACATTGTCCAATTTTCCTCTTTGGCTGTCTGTCCAGATTTATTCCCAGGTCTTGCAACATATTTGTGTCATAGACTCATTTGAGAATCTGATGAAAACCATGGACCTGAAAAAGGTGCATGCACCATCCTTACTTTTAATGCACAGTTTTGAAAGGCTCACAAGCCAGCGGAGGACCACTGCCTTGACAGGCTGTGATGTCTTTCTTATACTCTCTTTTTTGACACAAGTAAATCCTTACTCGTGGTCTTTTTCTGTCTGATTATTTTCCCAAGCTCACTAGGGTAGATAGCTGCCCTCTCTCATCTTCCTGGCTTTGTTTTACCCTTAAAGTATTTCTCCCTGGTTCTTGACTTCTTTGGAGATAGCAGTTCAAAAGAACACCCTTTCGGGGCCGGCCCGGTGGCACACTGCTACAGTGTGCCGCTTGGGAAGTGTGGCGGCGCTCCCGCCAAGGGTTCAGATCCCACATACAGACCGGCCGCTCACTGGCTGAGCGAGGAGCGGGGGCAACACCGAGGGTTGCAATCCCGTTGCTGGTCCCGGTCCGGTACGGGCGCGACACTGAGGGTTGCGATCCGTTGCCGGTCACGAAAAAAAAAGACAAAAAACAAACAAACAAACAAACAAAAAAAAAGAACACCCTTTCTCACCCCAGACCAGGCATTGAGCCTGTTGGTCTGAACCTTTTTTATCCCAGGAGTGTTATACTGAGATGACTGTTGTAAGCCCTTAAGTGTGTTGAGCTTCTGCTTTAGCTAAAGTTGTTAAAGGCTACTTTATAAGGCTGTCTCTCATTAAGGGGCATCCCTCTCTAAGCTTGCCTGTGTGGCAGGGGTGCTTTTTTTTTCTGTGGCTGGCCGGTATGAGAATCTGAACCCTGGACCTTGGTGTTATCAGCACCACGCTCTAACCATGTGAACTGACCTGTCAACCCTGCAGTGGGTGTATGCAATGTGGTGAGTTGTCACAGCTCAGTACTCAGGTATATGATCTGGAATCTGGGATCATTTTAGGGGCCATTCGATTTGTACAAATCCACAAAGGAGAACTTGAGTAAAGCCTTTTTTTTTTTATTGTTTTGTTGAAATGTTTAATTCAAATCTTAGTGTACTAGTTTTCTAAAGGAAGAAAGACAGCTGCTGTGGTCCTCAAAGCCTACACCTGGGTGTGGCTCCTTTACCTGCTGCCATGTCACAAACATTTGCTCCATTTAACCCTTCTTTTCCAAATGCTCCTCCTCCCACAAGGGCTTTTATATATGGGCTGCAGAGTCTGGTGAAGGGAGCTCACTTCAGTATGCTAACATACATTCAGTTTGTCCCCAAGATGCAGGCCTCCCTAGTGTACAACCAGAAATCTGTGCCAGTTCTAGCCAGCAAAAAAGCAAATACATTTTTGATCCTTTGTTGAAATTTTATGTGGAAAGGTTTTTGCATTTCAGAGTCTTTCATCTTTTATTATAGGCACCTCCTGCTCAGATAGCAAAAAGTTTCCAATTACTGCCAATTCCTAATGATCTCCTTTCCATCTGGAATGTGTTTTCAAATAGCTGCTCATGTAACTACACCCTCTCCCATTACATCCTAGGAACCTAGCTTAGGAGTAGAAAATCCCTGGAGTTATATCCAGAGTTACCAACCTCTTAGCTATCAAACCTGCTTTAGTCTGTCTTGCAAATCTTTTGAACCCCCAAATGTCAGTGCCTGAGTGTCCTGGGATCTACTCCCATCTCACTGACATAACAGGAGACTAAAGCCCAAAGAGGGGAAGGGGTGGCCTGTGGTCAGTTGCACTACATAGACCCCAGGGTCCTGCATCCCAGCCAAGAATTCCTTCTCCTTATGGCTGAAATTGTTAAAGGCTACTGGAGGAAGGAGCATGTAGTTATATGTTTATTTATTCAGCAAAATACTTAATTGTAGAGAGCCCATGAGTTTTTTGTTTTTGTTCTTTTTTTTTTTTTAAATTTCAGGACCAGGCCTTAACAGTTCAAGGGGTATGGGATGGCTGTGGACAACTGCTGTCAGTTCATCTAAGTGTGGTCTGGATACTGCTTTGCTTCTAAAAGTTTGATTTTTACTCCATACTTAATTAAAAAACAAAAAACAAACAAACAAAAAAAGCTAGAATTCATGTAGACATATGTTGAAATGCTTTCCCTAACAGTGGTTCCTTCCGCAGACAATAACTAATGGATCTTTTTTGGGAGGTTGTAGGAGGAGTGCCATACAAGATGGAGGGTTGAACCACAAAGGCTTCTGCAGTGTTATCACACCCAAGAGGATGAATGGTCCTTTTTTCCCTACACACAAGGGACCCAGGGCTTCATGCTCTTTCTTGGACTATGGTATTGGTTTTACAAATTAACACAAAAGTCTACTTTGATTTTGCTTGGAGTAGAGAAAGACAGAAATGGAGGATTAGAACAAGTACCCATCTTTTGGATGAGCAGTTTCCAAATCCCAGTTGGTGTGTCACTGCAGGCTGGTTACAGGGAGGCTGGCAATGAGTCCACAGACATGAGTGGCTCTAGGACATCACGTTGTTCAGTCTTTTGCTTACCTAATCAGATCTGTGTTCTTACCCAATGTTCACTAGGTCACCACACAGCCTCTCCCCCACCCCACCCAAGTTCCAGTATCCAAGCTCAGAGGTAAAGGGAGGGAGCAGCTAACTAGGATCCACCTTACAGGATTGGTTAGTCGGGTTTGGTATGTAGGTCTGCTTCTCAATGTCTCTAAAGTATAAGCAGTGGTATCCCCATCCAGCCTACCTCCATGGTCCTAAGGGTAATGGAACCAGGACAGATAGATCTGTGGAGTCACATTCCACCCAATCCCAGTGCTGAGGTCTATCATACCACTCTCTTCCCCCTTGGCAAGAAGCACACTCTATTTGCCTAGCAGCAGGATTGGTGACCATCCTGTTCTACCTTCAGCTGTGCTGCATCTCCTTATTTCCTTGGGGGTAAGGGAAGCAGCAGGCTGTTACCTAAACATCCAGCCTGTGAAAATGAGAAGGTTCTTGGGAAGAGGTACCACCCAAGTTTTTGGTGAGAAACCCGGCAGATTAAGAAAATTTTGTTGCATTTGTCCTCGCTTATCCTTCCAGGTCATAGGAATATCTAAAGTCCTATTAATCTCCTTACTCAGAGTTCACACCTTTCCCGCCAAACTTATTAAAATGCCCATTTCATTTAATTAGTACCCATAACTACTCATGGTTTAGACACATGTTCTCTCTTGGCCTAGGAAGCTGCAGTAATTCCTACTTGACCTGATGAATGTTTCTGGCTTTGGGGAGATCTGAGGCCTATGCCTGCTGCCCTGTGGCCATAGTCTACTATTGGGAAGAAAGTACATAATTCAAGGCTTGCAATGTTGTCACTACACAAAATCTCCCACTAATTTAGGAGATCCTGCTACCCCCTCATTCACATGTTTTTAAAAACAAGACAAAACCAAAACCAACCTATAATCATTCATTCAATTCCCTCATGATTCAAGTAAGTCCCACATCGGTCCTGACTGCCCTCCTGAAAGAGAAAAGGCCAGGCAGTTTTCCACAGATGGGTCTTCATTCTACTATGACAATAAATCAGTACGGATAATTAAGGTGGTAGTCCATCTATGCACATGGAGGATTTGAGGCACTGTACACCATGTTTGTTGAAGCAACCTCCCATAGAAGGGAGATAAGGGCCTTATCCAATACCTGTTCATGTAGATCAGTGCTTCTTTCCTAGACAAGGCTGAAGGGGTCAACATTATTTCTGAAGATTTCATTATTAGAATTCTATTTTGATTCTAGTGATCTCTCTGAGCTATTTTGGAATAGAAATATGACCAGGTCCCTGGCCTGTCTCAATGGCTTCACATGGCTTTCAAAGGGAAGGAGGGACAGGGCTGACTTGGTAAAATGGGTGAAAGGATCCAGGCCAGCCACACCATCATTCAAAGTCCAGATGAGGGATCAGTAAATACAACATGCCTGAAAGGCAGCCTTTGAGCACATTCCTCTGGTAGACATTAACTTATTAAATCAATCCGGATTACAAATATAAACTTTGCCCCCATCTTACCTGCAACTATGAAAGAGGCAGATGTCAGTCTATAAAAGTGAGAACTGCCCTTGGCTTTCAGGCTTCAACATCCTCCATCAGGATGTGGCACCTCAAACTCTTTGCAGTGCTCATGATCTGCCTGCTGCTGTTGGCCGAGGTAAGGAAGGCAGGCTATGCGTGTTCATGTGTGGAGATGGTCATGGTGGTGGAATTGTGAGTGGAACTTGAGAGCCACTCAGTCCTGAGAAATGGTTCCTCTATTTTGAGTCTATAGCATTCAGGGAATGATCATTCTTCCAAGGTGTGCAGTAGGATGTTAACTGTTTCATATCTGAGGTGAATTTGTCTTTGCCCTACAGCTAGATGGCTCCCCAACACCAGAACTCAGTTCAGCAAAGAGAAGGCCACGGAGAATGACCCCATTTTGGAGAGGGGTTTCCCTCAGGCCCATTGGAGCCTCCTGCCGGGACAATTCTGAGTGTATCACAAGGCTATGCAGGTACTCCACAAATTTGGGACCAGGGCTGGGCCAGACAGCCCTAGGAAGTCGGGCAGAGATCAGGAAACACACAGACCTAACAATAAAGCTGGGAGGGATGAGTTCCTGGGCTGAGGCTGGGAGCTCCATGGAGGAGAAACCCTCAAGAGTTAAGAACCAAGAACAGGTCTACAGGGTACATGAGAGTGATGCCTTCCCTTTCTTCAGTTTCCTGAGACTGAATAGATCAAGCAAAGAGGAAGATGCAGCAGAGGTGGCCCTTGTCACTCTTAGACCCAGATTCTTAAAAACCACCTTCTCTTTCCCTCTAGAAAAAGACGCTGTTCCCTAAGTGTGGCCCAGGAATGACGTACATACCAGGGGAAGAAAGAACAGCGGTCACCTCCAACAATGCTCCGTTCTATGGAATATTGACTAACTGCATTTTGGCTGGAGACACATAAGTGAAGCAATCTTAAGTTTTTAATATTTAAAGACAGATGTATGCTTTAAACTGGTCTCCATTTCTTCTTAGAATGTTATTTGGATAAGCATAACTAAACGTCAATTTAGAGTTTATTTTTCTATGGATACTATTAAATGTCTTGAATTGAAATTTTGACAGTCTGGAATTCAAGCTCTTGAGGACTTACTTTGTATGCTATAGGAAAAAACAGCATTGCCTAATAGTTGTGTTAACTTCTCAATCTGGAAAGTGTGGTAAGAGTCAACACTTTATCAAGAATCTTTAAAGAACAGTATGGCAGATTAAAGGCAAAAGTTTAGCAATAGCTATGTAATCAATCTTGGCAGGTTCATAAGTTGTGGCCCTGGATCCTCACCCCTCACTCCATGTAAAGAACTCTGCAGTGACGTGTCAGAGATGGGCAAGGTTGGCAGTAGCCACCTGAAAACGCACCCAAATTTGTCTTTGACTGTCTGAACATAGGGCAGAACTGGAAGAAAAATCTAGTTTAATAAAACAACAAAAACGTAAGCCACCAAGAATACCAAAAAGGATTTGAGATTTCTGTTGAGACAGGGCAAATTATGATCTATGCTCAAGGATCCATGGCCAGCAAATTCAGAATTTTCATAATCAGAAAATGAGATGTGGGCTGGTGGGACTAGACTTTTAAGGAAGAGTAGTACTGGTCCCTAAAATACAAAAGAGGAATTGCACGAAAAGGGCAAAGTAAGAGTTGAAGAAGTATAAAGAGCACAGTGTTTATAAACTTTAATACAGAAAATCTATTTGATATTTATTAAACTTAGTTTCTCCAGCTATGGTTTGGCATTATACAAAGCATCTTAATGACACAGTAGAGTTAAAAAGATCTTTACAAATTGAAATGTGATACCCTTGTCTCCAAATATTTTAATTGCCATAAATTTGTTTAAAAATACACATTAAACGCATGTTTGACACTCTAAACTTTCTATAATCTCAATACCACAAAATACATATAATATACTATACAGATGTGGAAAAATCTAGTTAGTATATAATACTTTGCTCACCATTAACAGCTTTATTATGTGAAATGCACATACTGACTTAGAAATCCTAGCTTTTGAGCCCCAAAGTACCTCTGAAATTTTAAGGTATTGCAACAAATCAAAATCACAGTATATAATCAAAATTTTGGTTGAAAATGTCAGATGCCTAAATATTCTGGATAAAAGAAATGTAAAACAAAGATTTGGATCATGTACAAAACGAAGGCATCCTATCAGTCACTGACAGTACCTTTCTGCAGAATCAACAGGCATGTTAAGTTTATCAGTGGCGTTACCTCCCCTCCAAAACCCTCCCCAAATATCAAACCATTATTTACCAAATAACCTTAATTTCAAATAAGATAAAAGGATTTTCAATAAATATATAAGCATTTCCATCCTCCATATACAAAATTTCTTAAAACCATTCAAAACGGAGGCTAGATAGAAATTTTCACAACTGTGCTTACCAACCCCACATCCGGCCCTGAAGGTGCCTTTTCAGGCACTGCCAATTGGGCCAGCCCTGTTGGTGAGCTCCCGTTCCCCCAATCCCAGTACTGCTGATGCTCATGTCAATGATATGACAGGTGTGCACACAAAGTTGTAAAATGGGGACACTTTTTGTACAGCAACAACAAACTCAACAGGATGGATAATCATGGCATTGTTTTGAAAGGCAGCATTTCCAAATAGATATTTTCTAGGTATAAAATTCCAATGGTTAAAAGCCGAAAAGAAACCTCACATGGAAGCAGTAAGAGGTCAAGACTGAATGTTACTGGAGTTTCTGGGTGGGAGCTTTTCTGTGCTCATTTAGAGAGCTTCATTTGTTTTTGTTTTAAGAACGGCAGTTTATGTTTAGCTGAGCAGTGGTAGCAAGGAGAGGTCAATGCCGACATTCCTGAAGGTCAACTTCTTTACCTGAAGACCACCTAGGCTGCCATTTTAGGATGCTTAAATATCTATATGACTTAGTTGACTTAACCCAAATACCATATTCTGTGACCAAATTCCATTAAAAGAAGAGACTTAGCTATTATTTCCATTCTCTTTTCTGGATACAGCAAGTTCTTTTTAATTAACCATAGTGTTCATGTGACTAGAACCTCAGTAAGATTAGCATCCACTTTATCAACTATTAATAATTTACTTCCTATCACTTGCTAGCTTGGTTTTAGGGTCTAGAGGTCTAGACTGAATTTCTCCATTAGTGAGTATGTGAAAGATATGCTCACAAACATCACTAATTTGGCCTCTTTTCACTACCTATTCCAAGCCATTCAAAAATGATCTCTTGATTTTACTGAATAGCACCTTAGAGGTGCAATATTATTATTGGAAAAATCTGCCTCTCCAACACATTGATGCATGAAGTTGAAATGAAATCCGTGTTCCACCTAATTAGGGAATATGAGTTATAGAAGTCTATATGGGTTAGAAATACTCTGGCTCCCCCAGTTACTTAGGTTTTTTTTTTTTTTTTCTCTAAACATCATCACAATCTGCCTACAACAGGTATCCCCAGTAGATGTTTCTGGGACCCAGACACAAACTCCTATAAACCAAAACACATAATGAGGCCATTTTGTTCAATTAGCAACTGGAAAATTAAAATCCTTCCCACCCTGCAAGAGCCCTATTACACTACAGAAGGGCTCAAATATATTTTAAAAGTTAATTTACTACAAATCATAGTAATTAAGCTTTAACAATCTAAAGGAATACACATTGCACTCTTGAACATTAATATTCAAGGTGTCAACAAGAAAGTGTCTTAGATCAATTTAATAAATAATGTGGAAATAGTTACACTAAGCTAAAATACTAAACACACACATTTTTTGACAAACTAATTTCATGTTTTCATACATACATACATACATATATATATAAAGTGTGTATGTGTACATAATTTTAAGATCCAAAGTTGCATACCCTCACACCTGGAAGAGTGCACAGTGTGCTCCTCCTCCTCTATACAACTAGGCATTGCTGATTGGAACGATCACTGGCTGCTCTGAAACTCCACAGAATACTGGCCTCCAGAGCCAGAACTTACATTTACAACAAATGCCTTTTGTAGGCTCTTCACAATGCAAGCTCATTCATTAGAATTTAATGTACCAAAGTTTCTGTCATTAAATACAAGATGATGCTGTCTGATCTAGCTGATTAAACCTTTAAGGAAAAGAAATGAATTTAAAAAATGAAACAAAAAACAAAAAACAGTGAATCTAATAAAGCCACAAGTGTGCCATTCAAAGTGCAGCCCAGATGCCTATGGATCCACCAGTGCAGGAGCTCCCCAGAAACACAGGTGTGTATGGGCACGTGCATATATTACTCTAAATTGCTTTTACATTGGAGAATTAAATCAGTGGTGATCAACCTTCTCCACACTATAGCAGCTATAGCTGTAAATTTATCTGAAGTATTCACTGCTTATAAAGTCATTTCCTGGCTACTTGCCCAGAAAACGGTGGCACCAAGGCAAGGAAGCAGATGCTCTCCAGCCAGACTGGAGCCTAGGCTGAGCTGTGGAAGGCTGAATCATCTGGAGGGGAGTGCTCTCCCCAGCCCAGCGCAGCCAAGCCCAAACAACACTACTGTGATAACTTCATCCACTACAATTGGTTTGTTGGTTGCCGTAAGGAGTTCAGTGGTGTAGGCTGCTGCCTCCTGGCATACAAGTTTGGTTGTAAAGAGCAGTCAACAGAATAACTGTTAAAATAGTTTCTATTTCTATAATTAATTATATATTAAATACAAGTTTCAAACTAAGTAAGTTTTTAGCCATTTGTCAAATTCAGTTTTAAATGGTTAGAAACACTGAGTACACCTACTGAGGAGGGAGGAATGGTCACCAAGTGAAGGAGTCCTAAATATGTGCTGGAGCAGATGATGACACAGACAGAACATCTGAGAAGGCAGACACAAGAGAGGGAGTGGTATTTCCGCACTCTATGACATTGAAAATTCAGTTATTTAGGATAGGATTTTGATCCACTGCCCATTACCACCTTGTGGAAAAAACCCTCCACAATGAAAAGCTTGAAAAATTCATTTTCCAAGAATTAACAGTTTTAAAGAGAAAATATCTCAGAGCAGCACCATAAATCATGCAGGAAACTCTGCTTTAACAAAATATCTGTGTGACCCCAGAAACACTCCTGCTGCCTTTCTGGACACACAAGAGACTAGAACACACTCAAACTTAGAGGTGCCCCACTGGCTGTTGTTGCTGAAAGTTTAAAAGCCCAGAGGATACTTTTCCATTTCTAAGACATCACTGCAAATTAAGGAATCGGAGTCAGAGAAATCAGAGAAGGACAGGACACACATGTACTTGATTAACAACAATTTCTTACTAAATAACTATAATGATCACTGAGAAGCTGTCCTTTTAAGGAAAACTGTTCCTAGAACACACTAAGATTAAATTAGAAAGATATCAGAAGCAATTTCTCCAAGGGAAAAAATTAAATTCAACACAATTTATAGATCTTAAATTTCAATGACATGTGAAAACAAGGTACAAAACAGTTAAGAAGCTTTATAAATATGAAGCCATAGGACAATGAAAGTTCACTAGCTTCAGAAATAATTGTAAAAGAGACTCAAACACAGAGGATTCACTGCACCATTGGACTTGGAGATTTTCTATCTCTTCTTTCCCCTTTCCCATCTCTTCTTTCCCCTTTCCCATTTCAAGTTTAGCAATCATCTACAAAAAGTAGGGCAATCTTTTTTTCTGATTGAATGGATTCACTTCTGGAATGGGGAAAAGGATAAACTATTTTTCAAAGCAGCATTACCCAATTGGTTAAATTAAGTTATGTACCAAAGCATTAGCTTTTCTGAAAGAATTAATCTTTATGTTACCCTAAAGGACGATTTAAAAGAAAAGAGAATTTGACATTATTACTGTAGAAGACCAACCATGAATGGACGATCGGTCCTAGTGTAAAACTTCATCTGTAAACAATCCAGAGTCTTCATTTAAAGGTAAGATTTAAGGCACACCAGACATGATAGGGGCACTAAAAACAAAGTATAGAGGGTACATTTCTCACCTTTGACTCCTATATGCACCTTGTAGGGA